CTAATATATATGTTGTTGTAGACATTTTAAAATAATTTCAAAGAGCTTAAACGTGAATCTCTTTAAGAAAAGTTAAGAAAAAAGATATTATATTTTAAACAAGATTGAGTTTTGTTAAATTAATTTTAAAAAATTGTCTTGAGTCAGTTGGAAAAATGCTGACAATTTGGGGAGGTGCTAAAAATATGTTTTTTTTACATAAGTTTTTTTCTCTTGCAAATAAAAAATAATCTACTGAAAAAGGGACATAACACCATGTTATTAACTGGTTGAAAACTTGTCATATGATTTCGTGAAACTTCCTTCGAAAAATAAATATCATTTTTCATCAACAATAGCGTTTGGATGGCAAAGGTAAGTTTGTTTCGTGTATTTTACATTTACTTTTATCATTTATGCCTTTTTACTGTCACAATAAGTGCCATAGTTAAATATAACTACGATTTTATGTTAAATATTTTTGGAAATAAACAGCAAACCAATATCACCAGTAAATGTTAGTATTTGATTTTATTATATTCATAAAATGAACGATATATATATATTTATAAGAAAACGATGTTAATAAGACATATTCAACATGAAAACTTTGTATTCTCGACATTATATTGTTACTTTGAAATGAACAAATTTCACGATTTTTTAATCTACGGAAGACAAAACGGGACATAATATACGTCGTGAATATGCATTATTTTATTATAACATGGTATTTTACTGTACTGGTCGGGGACCATCAAACGAACACTTTTTGAACAATTTTCCGTACAAATTTCATAATTTCTAACCTAGAGACCTTAAAATTTGACACAGTTCAGCTAGGTTCTTCTCCTAACTAACAAACTAGTTTGTTTATTTCTGATTGTATTGACACTTATATCTGAGGCTCCACAAGGAGGGTATCAAAATCACCTAAATTGTCTACACTACAGTATTACATAAATAAAATCGATACTTAATTTCAGATACAACATCCATGATTTACACACCAAAGGTCATTTGATGATTATTTTATGTTCAGCTGTCTCTTGTATCAAGGTGAGTCATACTTTAAGTATTATCTATGCACAATTTCTATCTATAATATATGAACAATGTTTGTTTTAACTTGTCCTTTTTTTAAATATGCTATCATGTGAAATGGACCACACCAGTAGCTCTTCATAGGAAATTTGCAAAATCGCTCCCGAGCTTTCATACTACATGATTGCCCGGAACATACAATACATTCCATATATGTTCACCTTCCTCGGTCTGTTGTGATTGTATAACTTACTGATTTAATATTTTAAAAATGCAAAGTATAACATAGTACGGATATTTTTTGTTATTGCCTACATTTAACACCTATGGAAAGTAATGCCGAACATTGGCCAAATGACGTCACGCTTTATTCATCAAAGTGGAAAAATGAAATGAACGATTATGTCATTTGAGTATCGGTTCATGCAAAATATACTTGTTTCCTTTAAATACAAAGTTAATATGCTAAGATAAATATATGCTAAATTCATACATAATTTCTCACAAAATATGTCTTTTATTTCTATAGATGATACAAGCCACATTACCAAACCATGCTGATGGAACAAACAACGATATGAAGGGCGTTGCATTTCAGTATGTTTATACTGACTACTGTATACTAAATTAATAAAAACTCAATGACAATTTCTCTGTAAATGTACACATGCTTGCCATTAAGTTTTCGGACAAAGGTTTAATGTATGTTAAATGCAGGGAAATAACTTAGCTATTTAAGGTAGGCTGAAATAAATGCACATTTTATACTGAATATTTCTATACTGATTTTTTTTCAGAGACCCGTTGTGCATTTCTGATTTCGGGATCTACAAGTAAATATCAACATGGCAACAGGTATATTTTGTTTTTACCAATGTCAGATGGTTTATACATTCATCATGTTCCCATGTGTCGATACTGGTCTGAATAGTAAGAAAATCAATACACAAACATATATAAAATAACATATTTCATAAGTTATATACATGTATATTCATATTTTACACTACATAATACTATGGTTACTGTGAAATAATGCATATACAAAATAATTTTATATACAGATCTGTAGATTTAAAATATGCTTTCAGATTCTACAACGTGCGTATTTTGTGCGCAGGATATCCAGAATGGGTCCCAATTGTCACTCTCAGAGAGAAGGGAAGCCACAGTGTTAACCATGCTAGCGATCTGAGGAATTCAAGTATACAAGTATACGAACAATTACAGGCCAAATCGTGCACCAAGACTGTAGAAGGGATTTTATTCACAATAGAAACATTTCAAATAGTTCCAATGTTAAGTGTAACCAAGTTAAAAGACCTTTAAGATCAAATGCTAACTTTGCTTTTAAGTGTAATTGCTCGTTCTGTGGTAAGCCTGCTAAAGTTGCATCTGGGAAACGTAGATGTTCATCCTGGTAGAAGTTTTGATTTTCAGGAAACACATCGTCGGAACCCACGGTACACATTTCGTATCTACTACATTTAATATTATTACCGATACATGTATACGGTAAAAACCATGGGTTTCCGAGGATGCAGGAAACAAAACAACTTAAATGTTCTGAGAGAAACAATCTGTGGGGAAATGTTGTTTTAAACAGACTGTTGTCAGTTTTGGATTTTCGTCAGATTCGAAGAATGTATATTACAGATCAGACAATGAAAACCCAAATAGTTTGGCATATATATTCAAAAGACACCAAAATGTGATTGGAATAGAGATTTGTTATTTCCTACCATTCCTGCACGCTTTCTCTAGATTGTGACAGTTCTTAAAATAATGTGTAAAAATGAAGTGTTCCGGCAAAATGCTGCAATATTTCATTCTTCAACAAAGAAGAAATTATTACAGGTGGTGAAAAATCCATGAGGATATTATATGATGGAGCTAGGGAGATAAATTTGAACAGACTGAGATTTCACAAATTTGTAAGTAAAACCATGTCAAGTTCATCTGTTATTCAAGTTCAAAGCATTCCGCCTACGTCTGATGCTGCGGCGCAACACTCTATACCGTCATATTTTCAAACACAAACATGGATTGGAAATGATAAATTAGATTCAACTGAATGGGGATAGGAACTTCTCGAAGGACTCTTGTACCCACAAAATCTACACAACCCGCTGCTCCAGATTTTCTTTTAAATATCAGATGCAATTGCAAAAAAGCCACTCTTAGACATGTACCTGTCGCAAACATAACCTCGAATGTTCGGTTGGTTGTGGAGAATGTAATTGTATTAGCTGTTCAAACTGTCGGTCCATTTCAGATATTGATTTTGCAGACATGGAGGACTAGATCTTGTATCGACACAATGCTCTTAGAATTTAGTTGTCAATTTTTACCTGTTTTGTATTGAAATGTATTCATATTTTGTGTTATTATTGGCAATGTACATGCATCTGGCATCTTGTTTTTACATAAGCAATAGAGGTTTCACTTTAAGTTAATCATATAAAACTTTGCAGACAAATATGTTCTATATATTGAACAGTCTCATATTCCTCGTGAAGTAAATACAATGTAGCTTGTAATAAAAACAAAAGAATTATAATAATACTCTGTTTGCTTGCCATATGAAGTATTTTTTAGTATTGTAGTTATACTCTTTTATCCAGTGTCAAATTATACTAAAATTTATGCACAATATTTTACATTCGTGTCTATCACAGAACAATAAACTTGTACTAGCACCAAACTATGCGCTATAACATAAATGTAGTAAAATGGTTGAAACAATCTAACTCCAAATGTACAATAGTATTGTGCGTTTAGAGTTAGATTGTATATTGAATACATACTTATCAATGCTTTCTTATATTTGCTTGTGTTGCGACAGACTGTTTTTTTCTCTAATTGTCAATGTCAAAGTTCACCTATTGTAAATAAAAATGTATTACTATACTGTCTAACATACAGAACGATAATTTCAAATTTATAGAAGTGGTCTTATATGTTGTAGACTGTTATGTGTTAGTACAAGCATGACAATAACCCTACCATATACTTTAAGTGATTTAAGTGTACATATCGATGTGACAAAAATGTAGTTCTTGTGAATGAAACAGCCTGTATATTCGTGTTCTTTATATTTATTATCACTACATTGTTGCTTGCCAAATTAGGTAGCTCTTCGGTACATTTGTACATTTGTAATATAGTTTTATTCCGTGTGTAATGTCAAATTTCAACAAGTGACACTTAAATGTATAATTATACTACAATTTCTCCATAGACCGGGCATAGTATTTTTCATCTGTAGTTTTGGTAATTGTTACTCGCTCTTAATTATACTTACTTGTTGTTCTTTTTTTTTTGCTTGAAACAAACAAATTATTCAAAATGCGTTGGATGTTCCGAATGTTAGCTAAACAAAAGTGTACCTGAATTATTCAACATTTATCTAAAACAAAATTTACAATACACATGTATGTCCATTTTAATTCATATGAATACAGTTGACATAATTTACAAAGTACTTCTTCATGCATAAATATGTTATTATGTATGTTTTTACTGTAAATATACATGGAATGGATGATTTTGCTGCTTATATATCGGAATTTGACTGGTTAAAAATTTTAACATAAAGTGGTGGGGTAATTTGACACCAGTTTGTCATAGAATTGCCGACCAATTTTTTTTTTAATTTTAAATGCATAAATTTTTGTATCAACATGGACAAAAATTTGTTTGTATGAAGTTTGCATGTAATAAATATGTTTAACTTATATATAGAAGTGGTTTTTTTAGTATCATCGGAAATTAACAAATTACGCCGATTTTATAACTGAAATTTAAGGGTGTCAACTTGAAAGCTGGAATTATCACATTTCCCCTTCAGCAAAAGAGTGCAACTTTTTTCCTAATATCAAGCAGATATGGTACCATCATAAAATACCAAAACAAAAACTTTTGCAATTAGTTCTAGGTTAGCTTGATTTTCGGGCTAATTTGACTAGACTAAATACCTTGAAGTTGAATAAGTTCCTCTTTTTTAGCGGCAATATCACTAGTGAGGTTGCTTTTTGTTTCTTCAAATAATTTCTTGAACGAGTCTGTAATAAAGTATTAAAGTTCTATTGACTAATCGATCAAAGTTCAAGTTTTTTTGGCACACAAGTTTTCTTTTAAGTATCCTTTTTCTATTTTCGCTAAAATTTCGATTTTTCTCTGATGTAAAAATGTAAGACATGTATCGTTAATCCATCACGTAGTTTACAGAAAATCACGAAGATTACAGAAAATATAAAAAATCACATTGTGTTGTATTGTTTTCTAACACTTAAAAGCAACAAATCAATACAAACTATTAAAAGATATTGATCTTGACATATATGTCCCACAATTAACAAAAAAAAACAATGAATTATAAAAAAGTAAAGATATCAAGTTTTCGTATTTTATAAAAACTGTAGTGGTATAGATATTTTATTTTTAAGATATGTAGATTTGATGTAAAACAACGTGCATATTTTTACCTTCTCTCCTTTCTAGCTCATCGCCTCTCTTTAACATATCGTCCGTTATGTTTTCTCTCATATCTGCAAACATGTCCGTAAAATATGAAACTGTTTGCTTAATGTCGCCTAATGTACTGATGACATTATCCTCAGTTTTCTTATTTTCATTCACCATTGTTTCTACCTTAATTTCAGTTCTTATCATTTTCTCTAAAAGCTGTTCTTCATATGAAAATTTCGAACATACAGGCTCTCTAGCCTCAGAGAAATTATAACTATATATTCCAACGAAAATAACAAACACAAATAACAGTGAGAACCTCATTTTCATTAGTAAAATTGCAAACTAAAATCTGAGACGCTTTCTGGATTGAACCCTGTTAGAGAAACTATTGTATTTATTCAAAGAAAATCTGTGTGTTTGAAAATGAGGCCCGTATATGTGTATTATTATTATGTTCCGGTACAAAGAGATCAAAACTGAGATAAATTTAGTTTAGGTATAACAATGTTATTGGTATTATTATATCATAAATATTCTGATAATTTTAAGTTTATACTTTATACATAGAACATACAGCATGCAAGCATTACTGAAACCTAAAAGATAATCTGTTAGGACTCTGTTGCTAAAGTATTTGCGTTAATCCCGCCGATGCTGGTTTAAAATATGGTTATAGGGTTTTATTATGTATAGGTTTCAACGTTACTCATCAAGGAAATAATTGTTTGACAAACTGTGTAGACATTACAAGAAGATCTCCTTTATCTTCATAACAATAGTGACATGACTTTAGCAGCATATTTATGCCTTGAAAAAGAATAACTTAAAACGTGATTTGTTCATATAATGTTTTTTCTTGCAACCATTTTGGTCAATCGAAAAGGGATAATTTATTTATTTATTGATTGTTCCAGCACTGTGGGTTTTATCAAACATCAAACTTTTAAACTCTTAAAAAAAGTTTGCGTAGATTATAAAAAAAAATTGTCGAACTTCCTTTCTGTTAGTTTATTTGAACCTATGGGTACTATACTGTACAGTTTGGAAGAATTACTGTTGCTAGCTTCATAAAGGCTTTGCAACGCAAGTAAGACATTTAGACCCCTTGACTTCTCGACCCCTTACGATATTAAGATGACTTCTAGACCCCTTGACTCTCAGACCCCTTTTTACATGACCTTTCGACCCCTAGTGGGTAAGACATTTCGACCCCTATCTCATGTTCTGTACTTTAGAATCACGGATTCTGTACTTCGATAAATAATTTAAAGTAATAAGCAAACATTTTTATTATTTTCATAAAAGTATCCGATTAAATATTAAAAACTTATGCTAAAGCAATACTTAAACATTGTTTTTTATTCGTTTATTGATATGTTACATAGAATTGTAGGATTGCTACATACTCGTATTAGTTATGATATATAATTTATGTAAATACAAAATGCTTGGGCGTGATATATCAAATTACACCCCTGTCTTAAAAGTGAAGGAATTATGATGATGATTATTATGAAAATGCGCGATCTGTGCATTGCGTATTTATTCATAACTACAATTTCTACGAGTTTGTAAGATTTAGTTTATTTTTCTATGACAAACACATGTATGTTATATAGGCAATGAATTATTTTACATGTCTACTTAATTTAGTTTATATATTCAATTGACTTGTCAAAGTAGATATGATCTCATTTTTATGATATTTACATTATGAATTAATAATCAAAAAGCAAAATACCAATCAATCAATAAATGGTACCGTTGTTATTTGAAAGCAATCTGCATGTTTTCGATTAATTTTAATTTAAACGTATTTCGAGAATTACGTGTACTATATTTTTTCAACTAAAATGTAACTTATGATATTTAGAATTGTAGTAATATTGACAAAAATGATATGGTCTCATCTATTTCTTTTTGTAATTTGTATAATTTGTAACATAAAAATTAAGTTAAAATTCAAAATGTTTTATTACATCTCACATTTCATATACGCATTTTTTTCTCATAAATTGAGTGAAATATTGCCATAATAAGCTTTAAAAGCATTATTTTCGACAATAACAAGTTTAAATTACTTGATCATGTTCCTCTTAATCACATTATCTAAATGGTGTGAATGGTGTGAAAATGCGTGCCCAATAAATATCAGCCACGTGTCGTAGTTAATTTAACTATCGGTACTGAACACCTGTGATAAACATTCTGCCAATCACCAAATTGTTGTTGTACCAAATAAACAGTAGCTGCATTTGATTTTAACGGGATGTTCTGATTGGGAAATGAATTGTTATATGTAACATTCATTTTAATTATTTTATTAAAATATATAAACATATTACATATTCGAAGGCATGCATTCAAACGTGGCGGACAGACGTGATAAGAGCATGACCATTTATACATCGATATCATGTATGTAATTCCATTCAATTAGAATGTATCTAACACAAATGTCATATGGAAAATTAATGAAGACGGAAAAGTAAATAGCAAAAACGCAACACTTCTTTAAAAATAAAGATGATCCCGTTTATTGTTGGTACATTAATAATGTACTGGTACTAGTTATATTATGATTTTGCTTGTGACTTCAGTGCCAGATAAGGATTTTTTTTTAATTTTAACGCTTATAGTTTTGCAATACTGACCTCAGTCAGTATGAATTTTCAGAAGTGTTTTGTTACTTTTCGTAATTTGATACGATTTACTTTTGATTTGTAACGATAGAAAAGTTCTTGATACTTAATTAATTTCATAATAACGTCCTCGAAAATACAGTTTTATTTCATGTATACATTTTTATTTCTTGAAAATATAGTATTTAAAGAACCAATATGCCTACGATTTCCTGATATTAGTAGTTCGATTAACATAAATTAACAAGTGCACATGTACATAATGACAATATTTGCTTAGGAAAAGGTCAATTACAAAACGACTGATAGATATTTATATAATAAAAAAGTGATTACAATTTCTATCGCGATTACTGTTATTTCTGATATTATGTATATACATATATACATAATATATTATACTTTCTGTTTAAATGTAGTACGAGTCTTTCTGTACTTCACTTGGATTACAAATAACGGCTCAATATGATTTCACTTATTATTCAGCATATCTATTAGATAATATATAATAAAAAAACTTGTAAACAAATAAACTTTTTTTCTATATTTACGTCTTTATGCACATTATGTTCTCGAAGAGAACGTCTTCAAGTACATTATAGAATAAGGGGTCGAAATGTCCAGTCAATTTAAGGGGTCTAAGTGTCTTAGGGGTCTAGGTGTCATGGGTCGAGATGTCTTAGGGGTCGAGGTGTCAAGGGGTCGAGGTGTCAAGGGGTCGAGATGTCATAGACTCTTTGCAACTAGCGAACACAGACATATAATATTTACAAACATTTTTGCATTAGCTTTATTGCAAACCAGCCGTCCAGACCTAAAAACAGTGAACATATATATGTTCAATGTGATCTTCACTAATACATGTAATAATCTGTTTTCTGTGTGTTCAGTAAGATAATTCGGTTAATATTTTCAAGTAATATTCAATTATATTTTTTTAATTAAAGCGTTAAATATATCTAGGAAGATTAAGAACAGCTGTAAAAAGTTTGTTTCTTTTGCATATATTTACTTATAACTTTAAGGCATATTATGTCTTAGAAATGAAAGAATTAAATTCTTACCACCTTTAGAAAAAGCACACATAGGTTCCATGGCGTTCTAAGACTGGTTTATTTGGAGTATATTTAATGACTTTAATCTAGATGGAATTAAGACTGAATGAGAACTTTTTTGACATTTAAGAAGGAAAATATGCAATGATAGTAGTATTTGACTTCCATACAGAATACTAAATCACTATAAATGTATTAACTACCAGAAAGCAACAAAGGCAACCGATTTCTGAGATAATAAGTAAATAACAAAGACATTTACCAGGCCTTTAACTTTGGACTTTTCACTCCTGAAGCAAGTGTCCTATCTCTGGATCCCTGCATGTGATGGTGGTTGTAGGGCTGTCTTGATAGAGGGTATAACAATAACTTTCATCATTTATCATGGAATTTGTTTATGTCATACTTTACAAATTTGAAACTAGAACTCATTGAGAAACCACCCTTCAGGACGTACAAAGTGAGTACATAAGACTAAACGATAGCATTTATCTTTATCGTTATTATCATGACATTACTTGTTTATAAACAATTCTGGTTTATTTTTTATAGTAAACACGCAGAAAAGAAATTTAAAAAATCAAAAAATGTATTTACAAAATAATCTTAGGGACATTGTCATTGAAATTGTTCAAATCCTAGTTAACCAAATTGAAGCCTTAATCAAAGCGAAACCCTCCTTCCGGACCTACAAAGTTAGCACAATAAATAAACATTTATCTATATCTTTATTGTCATAGCATCGCTTGTTTATAAATATTTTCTGGCGTATATTTCATAGTAAACACGCAGAAACATCAGAAATCGTGATAAAAGATAATTAAAAAATCAAAGTGTGTCTTTATGGCACCCTGATAAAATAAGAACACTCTAAATAGATGGCAACTTTATTTTGGCTTCAATAACTTTTATCAA